AGCTTGAGGCTCTGTCTCAAAAAAAAAAAAAAAACTGTCCTTGGTGGCCCACCAACAGAATTTCCTGTCAGAAGGAATGCTGAGGTGAAATTGTGTCTAATCCTCTATTTTTATAAAGAAACTGAAGCAGAAAGAAGTGAGCACCTGGCTCAGCACTGCTCACAATGACACAGTGACATTCCTAGTGATGCCAGAAGGGGAGGGAGCCCCAGCCTCTTTCTCTCACAGGCCCTTTCTTCTCCCAGGTGGCTAATGTAGAAGTGAATGATTCTCTAGCTCTGCCTCCCAATTCTCTAGGGGCAGCTTAGAAAAGTGATTTTTAAATGGCTTCTAAATGGAGTCCATAGATGAGGGGGGTCAGGGTGCTATGCAAAATAAGGCTATCCGTGAGACAGATGCCCAGCCAAGGGCATGAAATTAGGGAAGCCCAGGTTTAGCAATACCAGCAAAGATGAGTGAAAAATGGAGAGCCGGAACAGCCTCTGTCTTGGGAAGAGAAGCACTAGGTCTTTGATGTTAGTGGGAACATATGGTTCGGGCCTGCCCAAGATCCTTCTCTGTATTGAGGGCAGTAGACAAATGAATTCTTCTCATCTATCTTACATATAAATACTTTATTTTTACTTATTTATTCATTCATTTGTTTGTTTGTTTATTTTTTGAGACAGAGTCTCAAGCTGTCACTCTGGGTAGAGTGTCGTGGCATCATCATAGCTCACAGCAACCTCCAACTCTTGGGCTCAAGAGATCCTCATGCCTCAGTTTTTCTATTCTTAGTAGAGACGAGGTCTTGCTTTTGCTCAGACTGGTCTTAAACTTGTGAGCTCAAGCAATCCACCCCCCTTGGCCTCCCAGAGTGCTAGGATTACAGGTGTGAGCCACTGCGCCTGGTCCATATAAATACTTTCAACGCTTACAGTATAGATATTCTTTTGTCGCTTTTTTCATCTTCTGGCTCCTCTATGTAACACTCCCCCTTTCTCTACATATATAAGTTTGTAAGTTTATGTTTAGAAACATAGATTATCAATTTATATATGTATGTATGGAGGACCTAATATGGGAGCATTCTTGAATTCATTGTTTAATTTTTAAGACAATTTCATGAGAGAGTTATCACTAATCCCACTTTACAGATAAGGAAACTGAGGCCAAACAAGGAGCGCTAATTCATTAAGGTCACAGCCACTAAGTGGTAGAGTAGGATTACATTCCAGGTTTAACTTGAAAGTCTGTGGTTCTCCTACCGTGTTTCCATTTCCTCATTTGATTAATAAACTTATTTTTCTGGTAAAGGAGGCCAAGACTTAGAAAATAAACACTTCTATGGATCATTCAGGCTAGAAATGGCTCCTAAGGTCAACTAATATGTTTATTTTCTTTATCTGTAGCTAAGACAGTTAATTTATATAAAAGGATTCTTCCTCATCTCATGAGAATTGTTGTGCACATTCTTTTTTTTTAAATCAAGTTGCTAGTTCCTGGGGTCTTTTCTTCTTTGAGACAGGGTCTTGCTCTGTTGCCCATGCTGAAGTGCAGTATCCCGATCATAGCTCACGGTAACTAACCTCAGACTCTTGGGCCTCAAGTGATCTTCCCAAATGTCTGGGACTATAGGTGCTCACAGTCACAGCTGGCTAATTTTTTTTTCATTTTCTTTTTGTAGAAACAGGATCTCACTATGTGTTCCTGGCTTCTAGGGTGTTTTCTTGCTATCTGATTATAATACAGTCCTTTATGTTTGCATTTGGCTTCAGGGTTTCCTATCGGGCATCCAGGTGACCATAGATTCTTTTCTCTTTGCCTGCTTTTTAAAAAAATTGTGTTCAGTTCCCCTAAGAAATTTTGTCTGTTGATGTAGCTTGAATTGTATCTGTCTTCCATACACAGTTTTTTATGGTCCTAATGCTTCCTGAGTCATTTTCCTGCTGTCTCATGCAGAACTGATATCTCTGCTCTATGCTATTTACTGCTGGGCAGTGGGGGCAGCCTAGAAAAGTGGTTTATAAATGGAGTCCAATGTAATTTTCCTATTCATCTCATGAATGGCTATGAGTGGTCCAATCCAACTATTTCTTGGTCTCTTCACCTGTAAATAGGAAACCTGTGGCTCAGTTTCCTCAGAGCGCCATACTTTGGCTCCCAGGCAGCTCAAGATTTCTACACTAAGGACACTGGGGGCCCCGGAAGATTTATTTCATCTATTGTAACAATTGTATATGGCAAGAAACTAGTATATAAAGAAGCAAGTTGTTGAAAGCCAGTTCTAGAAAGAAGCTTAGCTTTAGAGATAAATTTACACTACTAATAATAAGCATATTTTAGTCCAAGATAAAATGCATAAAAACATACTTTTATTGGAAACCTTACATGTATGTATAATGATGCATAAAATACTTCTAAGATTCTTAAAGCAGCTTCTAAGCAGGCACACAGTCATGCTAACCCAGATTGACGATAAATTGTTATGTTAGTGGATTAGGAAATCAAGTCCTTGATTTGGTGTATCAGGATGAAAGCCCTGGCTGGGGTCCCATGCACAGGGGCCCAGTCCATTATCCAGTTCTCTCTTAACTCTTAGACACTTAAATAACACACTTGATGTTTCAGTGCCCCCTGGGGGCCACTAAGGTATCATACAGGAGTCATCATTAAATGGATGATGCAAGGCAGGTAGGAAGAAGGGAGAGATCCCTAGAGAAAGATCTGAAAAGAATTAAATGAAATAGTTCAAAACTCTTCAACAAAAAGTATTGTGAATCTTTCTGGCCTCTAGCATAGTGGTAACATGCCAACAAGCCTTAAAAAAAATCTATTGGTTTAATCTAAAAGAAAAATGA